TTTATTTTATTTTATTTTATTTTATTTTATTTTATTTTATTTTATTTTATTTTATTTCATTTAATTTTATTTAATTTAATTTTATTTTATTTTATTGTGTTTGATTTTAATTTATTTTATTTTATTGATTTTATTTATTTTTTTATTTTATTTTAATTATTTTATTTTTTTATTATATTTTGTTGTATTTTATTTTATTTTATTTTAGTTTATTTTATTGTATTTTATTTTGTTTATTTTTTTTATTTTATTTTATTTTATTTTTTTATTTTATTTTATTTTATTTTATTTTATTTTATTTTCATATATTGTATTTATAGAGCAGATGGCATAGAGCATAGGCCCATAGACCCAAAGAACCCATAGTAACACAGAATCACATATATACACTTATTTTATACGTATATATATTATATTTTATATATAATATATATTAGTATTACCACAATGGTATATTAGTTATGCTAAAGTAAGCTTTGATGTATAGGACCGCTACTGCAACCTGACTTAATATCGGCTATTAATATAGTATTTTGTATATGAATTTTTGTAATTTTGATATATAGAACTGATTGTTAAATAAAGTTGGTAATGTGTATTCATTCAAAGTATCTCGTAAAAAAAATAATATATTTCATAGTTGTATAAAATATAATTTGAAGTTTATTTAGATAATCGGTACAGTAACTGTTCGAATTATCGAGACCATACTGTTATTGATTTTTAATATAACAATTTGTGTGAAAGGTATTAAAATTTTGACAAAGCCATAGCTAAACTTCTTCTTTATTTTTAATGGGAAAATAATAAATTAAAATATCGCCGCATCAATAACCAATGTTTATTAGGTTTTTCTTTGCTTTCATAATGACCTGTCACTCGGCACACAATGCGTATGATTGACATTTTTAAATTATGTGTGGCGCCTTATTGTGGTGACAAATATTGTATATAATTTAGAATATAATTATAGAAAATTCTATTTTCTTCTTCTTTTACTAGATTATACATTTAAAATTAAAAAAAAAGAAGTATTTTAATTTTAAACACAATTGCTTATAATTCCTCCAAGAAAAATAAGTTGAAACTTTTAATGGATGAACAACACATAGAGTAGAACTTTTTAGAAACAATGCCGTATTACGATATAAAGTGTATAATAAAATAGCATATAACGTTACAGACCTTGACCTGGCTTTGTGCCATAATTCATGCTTTAAATAATGTTTTTAAGTCAACAAAATAGTGGACCTAAGTTTTAATATGAACAACTTTTTGTAACAATAAAAATGAAATTTTCAACTTGCAAAATATTTTCAAATAAACATAATGAGTTTAGTGTGCAAAAAATTAATTCTTAACGTTTACATGGCGTAATTGTGAATTTTACGACTATTTTATGTAATAGTTTTGTATAGAGTACCTTATTTTTAGCTTATTTTAATTGGTGCCAAGAGGTACTAATAAAAGAGAGCTTATTCATAACAAATGTTTATAGCTGTTTCCTATATTAGTGTATAAATAAATAAGGTTCTTTTCGTTCCGAGATACATAATGTCCCGGTAATCTTTCTAAATTTTCCATAAATTATTAAACGATAAAAATTAAACTGAAAGCAATATAGCTCTATTATACCATACCATGTTTAACATTGTCCTGGACGTAGTTTTGGCAGAGGCATTGGGTCAAGGTGGCGGAATAACTTGGGGTCTTCAAGATAGCTTGTGTGATCTCGATTACGCCGATGACTTATGTCTGACGGTACACAGATATATCATAATGATATGTCTCACAACCTAAATCGTTTGATAACTACGGCAAACAGAGCGAAACTTAAAGTCAGTGATACCAAAACAAAAGTTATGCGCATTAATGCTAGCGTTCAAGATCCTTTTATTATAAACAACTGCTGTCTTGAGGATGCAGATTTTTTTTGCTATATTGGAAGCATCATATCAGAAAAAGGTGGATCCAGTGCTGATATTGAGAACCGTATCAAGAAGGCAAAACAAGCGTTCGGTCGCTTAAATAAAATCTGGAGATCATCTCAGCTATCGCGTCGGACTAAAATACGAATATTTAAATAATAATCTCGATGAAATAATCTCCTGGAGTACTACGGAAAACAGCATCAATGCACTACAAGTTTTTGTATATCAGTTATTACGCAAAATTGTTAAAGTATTTTGGCTAAATACAATTTCAAATGATCATCTATGGTCTCTAACTCAGCTAATACCTATGAGAAACGAGATTAAAAAGCGCAAATTGGAATGGATCGGTCACACTTTGCGTAGACCGACTGGTGACACCACAAGAATGGCGATTGAGTGGAACCCGATGGGTAGCAGAAGAAGGGGTAGACCTGCTCACACCTGGAAAAGACAAACCGATACGGAATTGTCACACATACGGAATGGCTGGGGAGAGTTGAAGCTATTGGCCACCAATCGTACCGAGTGGAAGTTATTTGTTGCGGCCCTATGCTCCTCCTATTAGTTAAAAGATTAAATATATACCAAAACAACCCAATTACATGATATACTGTGGATATGTCTCCAGGTACTCTTGCTAGGTATTTACTTAGACCAAGAATTAAAAAATTTCATATAAGGAAGAGGTAGAAAAAGTATATATAAAAGTAGGTAGAAGCGATTCTGGGCACATCTGATAACGTATTTTAGTATAGAAAACTATTTTAAGCAACTTTTTTACTACGCTATATTTTGATACGTATAGCTCTAAATACCGAGATTACACTATGTTAGTTTCATAGTTTTAATGTAAACATTTTCAACTTTTAAGTCTGATATCTCGAAAACCGTATTGACATAAAGCATAAGAAATATTACAAATAACTGTCTCTATTGCAATCCATTGTCAAATCTTTCAAATTTTAAGCTTGATATCTCGAAAACTGCATTGATATAAAGCATCAGAAATATTACAAATAAATGTCTTTGTTGCAATCTATTGTCAAATGGGCAATTCTTGAATACTGGAATAGTGTTGCTGCGCCTTCTTTTATCCGTCAAAATAGTCTTAATTAATAAACACTTTTCAAATAATAATATTATTATTTTTATTTATATATTAATATTTATTATTATTATTATTTGACATCCATCAAAAAAAAAAATTATTGAAAAGCCTGTATTCCAGTTTTAAGAGTATTAAGTTTTTATTTTATTTTTATATTTTATTTCATTTATATTTCATTTAACAATTAATTACTTTATAGGTTAATATAGATCAAACTGTTTATTTTAAATAATTTTAAATTAATTGTAATTTTTTGGATAAAAACTAAGCATAACATAATTATACTAAGCAGGGTTCATTTTTATTGGGCAACTGCATAACTAATTTCCAAAGAGCTTCTTAGGTATTGCCAAAGGTTCAAGGTGGTTTGTAGACCTCAGTGAATTATAAAGATCGTAGGTAACCTAACTATATTATCTACTAGTATTATTATTACTATTATTATTATTATATTATCTTAGTAACATTATCTGTTACTATATTTATCTGTTATCTGTATTTATCTAACTTTAATTTTCTTAATGTATTGTACTTCTCTGAATTTTAAATTAATTTAAGTATTGCAGTATTGCTTAAGTAAATCTTGTGTTGAGTGAGATAGAATGTCGGTATTTATATTTTATATATATTTGAAAGTTTAATTAGTAGATCATATTAATATCCCGATTTGCGTTGCTCCGATTTGCATTAATTCCGATTGCGTCGGTACTGTTTCGATTTGTGTCAATTTTTAATACATGCGCCCAGGGGGGATTCCCATTTTATTTGTTGTAGATCACATTTTTTAAAAGGGGATTCAGTTTTTCATTAAAAGGTGTCAGCTTACATTTGTTAGGTGAAGTGGAAAGCTAAATTTCTGCCTTATAAAGTATAAAAATGGATAAATGAATAAACTTTTTATCCTGGGAACAAAAGTTTGACATTTTAAAACGGCTTAAACTTGGAGAAAAACCTGCTGACATTAGGAGAAGTCTGGGTTTATCTCCAACTATTGTAAGAACAATTTGTAATCATGATGTGGACAAGATAAAGAATTATGGTAAAACTGTCACATATTTGCAGACCAAACAAGTTATAAACAATAGGAGTCCGTTAATTGTAAAAATGGAGTCCCGTCTATGCATTTGAATAGAAAATCAGAATCAAAGAAGAATGCCATTATCCTAAATGCAAATTCAGAATAAGGCTCTGTAGAAATTCAATCAGTTAAAGGATACTTCTCCATTAACAAGTGGTCAAAAACCAGCATATTTTGGAAATTAAATGTGTAATGAAATGTAATTCGATTTTCGTTGTTTCGATTTGCGTCGCATTCTGTCGGTCCCAATCAATGATGCAAATAGGGGTTTTAGTGTACTATAATTTGTCACAAGGTTTAATAATAGCTCTGCATATCTGTATTAAAATTTAACTTTAAATGTAGGTATTAATTAAAAGTAGCAGTAATTCATATAGAATATAGCAGAAACAAAAATAGTTCATAGCATAATTTACTAAAACATATTCTTATAAATAATCGCAGTTAAGGAATGTAGGAAACTGCTATGATAAGGTGTTATATTATAATTAGGAAAAAATCACACTTTTAAAGATGTCATTAAATAGTTTTTTATATAAATTAAAGTAATTAAATTCTAATTTAATCTTTGCAGCAAAAGGAAAATATATCGGAGCTCCGTGCAATAACATGAAATGTGAGCCAAGACTTTTGCATGTCACCTGCGATAAAGAAACATTAATTTGTGGCTGTGAAAAAAATTATCCCGTGCAACTTGGTTTAACCACAGGTTGTGCAAAACGTAAGTATATTTCAACAAGTGTACTTAATAAAAAAAAATATTATATAGTATTTGTACATACATATATATGTAGTACCATAATAACAAATCAAAACTTTTATGTCACGAAACAATAGCGAAAAAACTAGGTGAACAATGTTTCTACGATAAAACATGCAAGTACAATGATGAAAACTCACTCTGTGTTCAGGTGCGTCATAATGCACTTTGCGAATGTGCCAGTGGTTTTCATTCCGTCAGCTATACAAAACCCACAAAAAGGGTATTTTGTACACAAGGTATGTAAAATAATTATAAATCTTAACTTTTATTTAAATCCAGTGAAAACTATATATTATTACATACATAACTGTTAATTCTCTATATTTATTTTTTTCTAAACTTTCGCGTTTTGATATAAATTTTTAGATTTAAAAGAACTGACCTCAGATTTGCCCACTTTATTGGGTGTTAGTACAGGGATTGCAGTTTTAGCAGGTCTTATCTGTATGGTGCTACATTTATTCAGTAAAACCAAATATCCAAGACATCGGAATTTTGGTGATGCAAATTTGCCACCACCTATAATGTATTCAAGTGATACAGGTAATATAGTAGCACGTATTCTATATTAAGGACCATTCACAGTTAAACAATTGCTATATATATATATTCTAAAGTAATATAAAAAGTGTCCGCCGTTTTTTGACACTAGATGGTGTTCGTATTGATAATTTGGCAACACTAATCTGATTTTATCAAACGAAAAGTTGCTTGAAAAGTGACATTTTAGGATATATATTTTATGAAGACAGTAGTATAATTTCTCAGCGTTTAAAAATTTATATTGATTGACACTAGATGGTGTTCGTATTGATAAATTTGGCAACACTAATCTGATTTTATCAAACGAAAAGTTGCTTGAAAGGTGACATTTTAGGATATATATTTTATAAAGACAGTAGTATAAATTTCACAGCTTTTAAAACAATTACTTCAATATGCAAAAATAACCTATGTTATGCTTTATTAATATCCAAAATGTCTAACTCTTACAATAATATACCAAACAATTTGTTATGTTTATAATGAGGATGATGTGAGTGAATGTCAAACCCCCGGAAATCGTTTTCTCGTTTACGTTTTGGAAATTTGGATGTTAAAGAAACACCTCGCTCGGGTGGGACAGATGTAAGTTGTCAGAAGATAGCAGACGTACTAAACATCAACCTTATGATAATTTGGAACTTCAATTCAAATAAATTCGATTAATAGAATAGCCATCAATGCTGCTGAAAAACAACAAGTCATGTCTAAAGCAAGTCATTATGGATGATAATATCCAACGCAAGCAATCATGATTACAGACTTATTTTAAACAACTTCAAGGCTAGGATTGTTGGACTAGGTTATGTTGAGTGCTTGATGGAATAAGAAGGAATTATCTATTATGACTTTCTGTAGGCAGTGTAATGGTTAAATCAATCTTTTACTGCTAGCAACTCGACTACTTCAATAAAACAATCAAATCTAATCAGAATTGGACAGCAGACATTCCATTATAACAATGCCAAGTCACACATATCTTTACTGACTCGGCACAAATTCACGTAACTTGGTTGAGAATTTTTAATGCGTATATCGTATAGGTTGGTTGGTTGGTTGGTTGCAGTGGCAGGTCATAAGATAACTTTAAATGTACCTCAATTAGCGATTTTTCGCCGTTTTGTTACCACATTCCTCGCAAGAACCCTAGTATAGAAGAGTAGAGACTAAATCCATCCCACTGAATTTAGGTAGTTTAATAGGTCTTTCATCTTCACCATTGAGCAGTCTGATAAACTATCACAAAAGTATTTTCCTAAGAACCTATATCATCGTATAGGTAGACCGGATGGCAATCTGACTACCCTTTGTTTTGGTGTCAATAAAACTCTCTAAACAGTAATAATGTAGAAATTTAAGTTGCTTTATTATTAATGTAATAAATTTAATTGAATTACTAATATAGGAATTTTTATAGGAGCTATTTGGTACACTTTTTTCGTCTTCCTTGCTGAACTGCCATTTACAGATCAAATAAATTGTAAATTGAGCGCCCGAAGAGCCGCTGAAAATCACTTACCCACGTTTTATACCGTTAAATCTCAGAAGTTCTATATTGATGGAATTATGAACCAACTTAAAAAATAGTAAAGGTCTTAAATAATAATGGCCAATTAAAATTGTTTAAAATTGATTTTCAATAATTGATTTGTTCAAAAATGTGCCAAAACACGGTGGATACTTTTTATAGCACCAATTATAAACCTATTATTTATTATGTAAATTAAATAAAAATTTTTTTATGTTATGTTAATTAAAGACAAAAACATTAACTACCTAAGCTCAGTTATAATAAAAAAATGTATTAAAAATTGGTTGTAATAATAATTTATTATAAATTAAATATAAATATTTTAGTCTTGAATCTGATATGTCTTCACATGTTACAGGTATACCATTAACAGTGCAATCCGGTCGACCATCATCTCGTTCTAGTCTACGTTCTAGTGGTTCAATTGGTTCGTATGGTAATCGACGTGCATCTTCTGCTGGCGCTACAACAGCAGGTTCAAAAGGAATATTAGTATCAACATCACGAACAGGTGCGGCAAGATCGGCCGCCATATTGCTTATATCATGCCACATTTCAGCACTGTCTAAACAAAATTCTCAAGCTACATCGCGACAAACCTCCGGCGCTGGCTGCAGTGCTAATTCACGCGATAATCTCGATGAAAATGGTTCAGATGCGGGGAGTCGTAGTTGCGATAGCACTCTCTCAATGACGCGTCATCTACAAAAACAATTGAACCATCAACGTCATCTGCTTAGCCTTGAACTATCACCTGCTAAAACAAAAAATCATGATAGAATTAGAGCATTGTTGGGCATTAATGGAATTGATAATTATAGAACTGATGACGATGATTTAAATAATTTAGAAAATGGCAATCAGCACCTACAAATAGGTGCAGTGCCGACGCCAGCCAGCGTTACGCCTAAATTTGCGGTAAACGAGCTCGATATCCTATTTCGTTTGTTTTGTTGATTACTCTGTGTTCAATATCGCAATTTATATTATTCAAAATATTATTTATGAGATACAAAATGTATACATAACTGATACTGACTGAACGTTTGATATATAGTATTTTAGTGTTATAAGAAACTGATTTGATTTGTGATCAAATCGCAGATTTATGCAATAATCTCGATAATAATCTTGCATACACGTACAATACATAAACATTGTTCGTTTCTGCGTTCGTTCGTTAGTTATGCAGTATTGGTTTTAAAACGAGTCTTAAAAAAGATATTCTTAAATTCTTAAATTCAAATAATTTAAATTATTAAATCCTATTTTCGTTTGCATTCGAACATTTAGATGTTAATTTGATGTACGTTTGTATGTATGTATGTATGTGTAAAATTTTTCTTTATAAAATTACAAAATTTCTATTATTTTTCTAATCTGTGTCTTCTAATATATAATATCTACTATCTTCTATCAACTGTTAAATGTTTAGCTAACCTTCTTTTATTCAATTTTGTTTATTTTGTATTTAATAATTATAATACTAAATGTTCATTCCAGTTAATTTATTACATATTAAAATTTTATTTCGTATTTTAACAGAGAAATTGCAAAAGTTATATAGATAGTATATACTTAGACGTAGGCTGTAGGGCTTTTTAGTTTGTTAGATAAGCATAGATACTTTTCAATATTTATATTACATGAGTAAACAACTGACCCATTTCAATAACAATTTTATTCAAATATAAAAATAATCAAATTCATTTATACATATTAAAAATTATTATTACTTTCTATAATTGGTTATCAAAATTGAAATAAATTGGAACTTTTGAAATTTGAAATTCTCCTTAAAATATCAAATGATCAGTAGTAATCAATATTATAAGTTCACAATAAAAATAAAAACAAATCTAATGGAAAAATATAAAACCTAATTTGAAGTTTTTTATGTTTTAAAAAAAAATTATTATTAAATTTAATTTAGAAATGTAAAGTACATGCTAGGTTCAATCATCATCAATAGTCAATAGCTAAACAGTCTATGTATTCTTCATTCTTCTATATTTTTGGCTTTTACCTTCCAGTTGATGACATTCATATCTCTCAGTTCTTGTCGAATACTGCCACTAAATCTCTTTCTCGGTCTTACTTTTCTTTTCGTTCTTCTAGCTTTACTCTCGAAGATTCTGGTTTAATAATAGGTTTAATAAGTATTTTAAATTAAAAAATGGTTTTTATTTTTAAAAATGACTTAATTTTAGAAAATATGAAGTTCTACTTTAACTTCAATATACTTATTTTAACGAGACAATTAGTGTATCCGATCTCTGCAATGGTTTCTGGAAGGCTTACAAAATATTTTCTATTACACTTATTGGATTAATATTTGCTGAAATAGATAACATTGCGATGTGATGAAAATCAAATTCTATTCGTACTTTAATCCTTTAATTTTAATGATAGCTTGTTTGAGTTAACTGAACAAGTGCGTTATCTTGATTGAAACTGTTTTTGCGTTCACTGTAAACTGGGATTTTATAATGAATTTTTGCAACCAAAAGCTTACAGTCATTATCTGATATTATAATCTTACAAGTTCAAAGGCAATCTAACAAAACAAAACCTTTTTGCAATCTAAAAAACACGATCGTCTTGTTCAATTTCTGGACATAAATTCGCTACAAACCAGAGATTCGGATTTGGTTTCAATCCACTTCTTAGCATTTTATTTTTTATTTAGGATTACGATGTTAGATTCAAATCTCATCAGTAAAGATGAAACAACACAGAAAATTCTTTCTAATTTCCTAAAACGTTTTAGACGAAGATGTGTTAGAATGTGTTTTTGTAGCATTGCTAGAGGATGCGGCAATTAATATTCTATTTATCTAATGCATTATAGAGCTAATACTATTCCTTCCATCAGATGTGCACAACCCTAACATTGTAACCCAATTTTTGAAATTAATGTCACTGCTTCAAGGTATTGCTTAGAGTATTCGATTTTGTCTGGCATCAAGTTTGCATATTATTGGATTTATTTCTTTTCTTGTTTTTTTAGAATATATATGGCACACCTACCCACCCATCCGATCACCCATCCTTTGATCGGTTTTATAAAGTTGTATACTACATCATTGATACATCTTTTCCTCGCCTATTAGTGTTATTTCATAATACTAAAAACTAATTATAATTTATTTACAACACTTTTTATATTTTTTATTACTAAACCTCCTTTAGTTTAATATTAAAATTAATTTATATTCTTTATTTTAATTATGTCAGGAATTTGTATTGGTTTTTTATTTTGAAATGCTTAACACAACAAACATTAAATAAAGTGACTTCATTATCTTTTAAATATTAATAGAAATTACAATTATGAAAAATTATTCGGGTCTTTCATTAGAATTTAGTTAGAATTTTTAGCTTATTTTATAACAAAAACAATTTTTCTTGAACTATCCTTAGATAATATTCAAAAATTTTTTATTTTCTTATAATTAATTGTTCAATGTTCGTAATTATTATAATCGTAATATTTGTATAGTGAATTAACCAATTGATATAACCTAATAACCATTAAATAGTTTATTAACATTTTACACACATACAACACAAACACAGAAAATTATATTAAAAATTAATTCAAAAAAAAAAAAATGTAACTGAAAGAAATAAAATATATATTTTAAAACATATCGAAGTTCTCTATAAAAAAAAGGAAATATTTAACCTATATTTAATATACTTCATCGCTTCAGTTTTTATAAATCATATTCCATTCAAAATTTATTAAAAATTTAAAAATAATATATTTTATATATTAATATATAATGTTTTTTATCTAAATGTTAACAGTCTGAATATGTAAGAAAGCAAAACAAAAAGCAATATGGCGGTGAATATGTTCTTACAATATAAAAGTTTTAATATATATTTAACATTTTTAAACTTTTTATTTTATTTATTTACTAAAAAAATACTTTGCTAAAATAATATATTTAGAAGTTTTGCTAAATTCCATTAAGGGTGGCATGTTTAAATGAAATAATTTGTAAATAACTAAAATACATTTTTCTAAACAAAATTCATTATTATTTATATATATGCTTTACATAAAAGAAATATACTTAACAATAACACAAATATTTTTATTTATTTAAATAAGCGATTTATAAAATAGAAACCTATTAGATCTCTATTTAACAGCGCTAGTAACATTGGTCAAAGACCGCAAAATCCAAAATCTCGGTATAACAGATTAAAACGGAAACTATAATATTGTACTAATAATGTTGTTATAATAGGCCTAAATGAATCCCCTAGGGATGGCCGGTATAACCTAATGTTGTTATATTATTGCACTTTAAGGATAAAATAAAATATACTTATGGTGTTTTTGATTGGTAAGTCTATATCCAATCTAAATTTACTCTCGATCTGTCAAATTTTGTTGCCCAATTAGAAGAATCGTTTTTAGAAGAATCTAACATATTTGTAGTTGTGTGAGTATGCATTTGTATTTTTCATATATACTTATGTCGGCTCAAATCACACTTTATCTGTCATATCTGAAGTCATATAGAACCCTGAAAGTTAATTTCCGAATAATATGGTTACTCTGACAAAATATCTAGAGTGTTATAACTTAGTCTTAAGTGTTATAAATTAATCTTAACTGTTATACCTCGAGATTTAGCAACTGAAACTAAAAATCGCACTGAAAATGAATTTTGATTATAAAAGTTACTTCAGATTTACCAATACCTATATTATATAATATATATAATATTATATATTATGTAATATATATAATATTATATAATATTTTGTGAGGATAAAACTAACCT